TCTGCACCCTGCTCGGAGTCAGAACCCTGTCCAGAGCCGACTCATAGGGCCCCTGGCTGTTGGAGTCTAGTGGCAGCTCCAACAGCTCCTGCTGGGCCACAACAATTTTCAAGCTTTAAGTGTCAACGTATCAAGCCCAATCACATAGTTTCGTAGCAAAGCACGGGTATCCAGGTGTGGGTATGGGTGTGGGTGTGTGGGTATATTTCACTTGCTCCAGTCAAGGAAGCATAAATAAATCTCCATTCTTTTGATATGATTTCTTAGAATAGAATAGAATAGAATAGAATGCCTAAGTGTGATTGTACACAAGGAATTTGTCTTTGGTGCATAACTCTCAATGTACATAAAAGAAAAGATACATTTGTGATGAATCATAAGGTACAACACTTAATGATAGTCAAATGGTACAAATAAGCAATAAAATCATACTATAAATATAAATTCTATAGTTATCAATATAAATAGTAAGGATACAAGCAACAAAGTTATAGTCATACAGTCATAAGTGGGAGTAAATGGGTGATAGGAACGATGAGAAGATTAATAGTAATAATAATGCAGACTTAGTAAATAGTTTGACAGTGTTGAGGGAATTTTTTATTTAGCAAAGTGATAGCATTCAGGAAAAAACTGTTTTTGTGTCTAGTTGTGTCTGGTGTACAGTGCTCTATAGTGGCACAGAATGAACATTCTTTGTTGTCCTTTATTTGATTATGTTTTTGATGTTAGGTGTCCATTTTAGGTCTTGAGATAAGATAGAACCTAGACATTTGAAGGTTTTTACTGTTCATACTGTGTTGTCTAGTATTGTAAGAGGTGGTAGTATGGGAGAGTTTCTCCTAAAGTCCACCACCATTTCTATGGTTTTGAGTGTAATAAAAGAATAGATAAAAGATTTCATACTTTATAGGGATAACATTCAGAGAAACCTGGCCAGAAAGGTTTAAGTGGAATGACACAACTCACAGCAGCTAACTCACCATGGGACGACTCATTCTCACTCAAGAGAGGGACAAGTAGAATTGCAGCTCACCCCAGTCTCAAGGACTTCTAACTTAAAGCAAGACAAGTTCCGCAATTTACTTGTCCCTCTCTTGAATTATCTCACCATTGAACTGTCCTGCAGCGAGTTATTCCCTGGTGAGTTGGTTGCAATAAGTTGTCCCACAGTGAGTTAGCTGGAGTGAATCAACCAGGATGAGTCGGCCAGGGCGACACAGTTTTGGCAAGTCGACCGCAGTGAGTTGCCGTGGCCAGTTGTCCTAGAATCAACTTTAAGTGCCTCCAAAGTTTTTTTTCTCTTTAAAATACTTTTGTTATTATACTTTGCATAGAATTTCACAACCCAAAATCTTAAATCACTAAATTTTGCTCTAAAATTGGTGGAAAATATACAATTTCACCCAACAAGAGTTTTAATACAAATTGCTGCTACTGGTGTTGATTTTGATCAGTTCTTTTTTTTATTTTTATTTCCTTTTCATGTGGGAATACAAGTAGCCCTTGGCTTCCAACCACAGTTGGGGCCAGGATTTCAGTTGATATGCAAGGTGATGCTGTGGGTGACACTGCCATGGTTGTAAGTGTGAGGACTGGTTGTAAATCTTTTTTTCAGTGCCGTTTTATCTTCAAAAAGTCACTGAATGAATGGTTGTAAATTGAGGAGCACCTATACATTAGGCATCTCCATCATAAATATATCTTACAAATCCAGATCCAAATTCTGCTTTTTGTGCTTTGGGATCAATTCACGTTTTGGTTCTTAGGTATAGCAAATATGCTAATTAGTACTATGACTAGTTAGCATGATTTCTACATTCATTGACCATTGCATATGCATCCTTTGGTGGGGATGGGGTCATTTAATACAGCTGACTTGAAATCAGCTTCTACATGGAGAAGTGGTGAGAAGTGGTAAGGTTGAGATATGAAAACTAATAACAAAATATTAGTCAAATTTAGTTAAAATTAGAGCATTATGTAAAAAATGAAGTGATAATGGATATAGTTAGATAAATAATTGATGATGATAACAATGTACACATATGTATTTGTTTGATAAAAGGAAATNCCTGCAACCCACCACTGCCCCAAATGCCACTGATCCCACTTACACTTTGAAGCCTTCAGGGTGATGTAGCTCATCTTAATTTGCAAGGGTGCCAGGAAGATGAAATGGGGCAATGGGAGAACTCTGAATAAAACCTTGGTGCTCCTTGGAGGAAGGATCTTTTAAGTGGTAAAAATGAAACATTCTTTCAATTTTAACCTAGATAAGATGCATCTTTAGTTGTTGCAAATTTTAACAACAGAAGTGAGGCATTATTTATATAATATTAGTCTGTGAGGTTTCTTGGATTCATGGAGATCTATCCACAAATTCAGAAAGAACTGAATTCTCTAAGAGAGTACTGTTGAAAGGTGTTACATCCCTAGAATATCCAGGTTGGGTGTGAACTGTACCCTAACATACTGTATATGGAGAAGATAAGACTGTCTAGAAGCCACTGTCGGTTGGGCAGTCTTCTTGTAGTCAATAGTTGCAATGTCTATTTTGTGTGTTTGTGTGTGCATGTGTGTCTGTGTGCGTGCGTGTGTGTGTGTTTGTGGGTATGTTTTCCAATCACTGAAATCTATAGCTAGTATTGCAGTAATATTAAAGTGGCCAAAGCTGGAGTATTTAAAGGTGGGAGGGACATATTTTAAGTCTTAAGGCCTATAGCTATAAGGCTATGAATTCTCCATCATAATTTGGTGGGAAATATGCAAATGTTATATATGCTACAACTACACACATCTCAAATATCATTGCTTTTAATTCCATTTTGCAGAATGACACAATCCTGCCCATAATTCAGGATCAGAAATGGCTAGTATTGGAGAACCTTTCTCCTGACACAGTGTTTGAGGCAGCCATTCGTGTCAAAGTAAAACAGATGAAATTTTACAACAGCGTATGGAGCAGATGGAGCATGCCTCCTTTAAGATGGAGGACAGATCCTAAAGGTAAGGTGCATAATAGAAGGTTTGGGTCATCGCTAGAGAATATGTTGAAATGATAACTCCCAAGAACATCGTAAATATTGTTAAATGATGTTTAACAATAATACTTGACGTTAAAAAAAAATTAAATAAGAAATCTGGTGATGTGCATATGAGTTAGGATGTGGGAGGAAGTTTCAGGCAAACAAACAAATCTACAATTTAATGTACAGCATGTTGAATGGGCAGATTCTAAGGTATCTGCATCTCAGTCATGCAAAATTAGGGACAATTTCTTGTCTGACTACTTTTGAAGATGTTTACTCAAAAGCCTAGTTTTCTTAAAATATTGCATTTATACATTTGAGATTGAGCACCCTTCAGAAATCTATTTATTATAATATTCATATAGTACCATCTTCAGTATGATTCCAGATAGTTTATAATCCTAACATATTCTATAAAACAAAGAAGTGAAATTATTTTAAAGAACCATCTCTAAAACTACTTTCATTAAACAAAACAAACTAAAATTAAAATCTGAATTAGGAAATGCTTCTGACTGGATCATACACGTACAGCACCTCTCTGCTATTAATTAAAACAGCCAGTCTTTTTCAGGTTTCAGACTGAGCTGGAAAAAAGAGTAGTTGAGCCTATTGATAAAAGTTAATGTGCCTCTTTAAAACTTTTGCATTGCAATGTTAAATGTGTGAAAGATTGGGTTCGAGTCTTTTGCTTCAGGGTGCAAAAAGTCTCATGAGGAATTTTTAATCAGTATACTTTTTCAGGAACTTTTGGGGCAACAGGCTACATCTGGAATTTATAAGAGCAAATGTGATATAATGGTTATGTGTTGGGTTAGGATTGAACTAGGAAAAACACAAGTTCAGGTCTTTCTTCAGACATGGAAGTTCACTGAGAATATTGAGCCAGAGTCTATCTCTTAGTTCAACCAATCCTATAGAATTGTTGGTGTGGACAAAAATTAAATCCTGAAGGAATAGTGGGATATAAATCTAATGAATAAATACTAGCTTCTATCTGCATTCCACTTTTTCACAGAATAGCTGCTATTTTTACCTGTAAAAATAAAATCGTATTTTATTCCAATTTCATTTAAATTGTATTTTATCAAATTCCATTTTAAAAGTGCTTTTATCAAATTTTAGTAACAATTTGTTTCTGGAACTTTGCACTTTGATATGGCCCAAGGACTAATCAATAAAGACTCAATGTCAATTAAAATTAAATACCCTAAAGCTAGTGCAACCAAGGGTGTCAACAGGGGAGATAAAAATGTGAGGCTGGCAGCCACTGTGACACATGTAACAAAAGTAGAACCTTGTTCATCCAGTTGTAGTGCCATCTTGATTTTTCTGGTTTCCTGTTTCCCTGGGTGGCTCTGGTTACAGATGGATTCAGAATTGCAGATCAGTTCTTTGCCTTCAGAATGCTATTCTCCAACACTTAGATTAGATACAGACCAATAGTNTATTTAGAAAGTGTCATAAAGATGATATTGAGAATGCCATCATGTGGTTTTGCTTTAAATTTTGGAATATTTTATATAAAGGGACGTAAAAACAACCATAGTCATATGAACACTGAGATATGATGATGATAACATATGTAAATATATTTGATTTAAAACATATAACGATATGAATTGTAGGTGATGACTGTGGAAGGGATGCACGGAAGCTCTTTGTAACCCATTAACACACTCTTTATAATTTGTAATGGAAGGTATTTTTGTGGTGTTTGTTGTTTTCTCTGTGTTTATTCAAAAATAAAAAAAATATTTTTTAAAAAAGTGAACTCTACTCACGCGGCCATTAACTTGGTTTAAACAAGGTTCAAATTACCCCTCTGGGGCATGGGCCCAACATTGGGAACCACTGTTTTAGTGTCTTGATTTGTGTTTGCTCTCTTCCTTGTATGCTCATATGTTGTTTATGTCTAATCTTCTCCTACATCTATAGAAACTTGGCTTCCCTGTTGTCTTAAAACTACAACACCAAACTGGCTCTTGCCCTAATATATACTGAATATCTGAAAGGTGCTTTTTCAAGAAATATCAGAAAGTCCAGTTCCCTCTTGAAAAAGCACCTTTGGGATAACCATGATCTGGAGGACTGAGAATCTCCATAAACATACATTGAAATGAATTCACTAGCTGGGATTCTAGTTTATTTATTTATTCTTTCAGTTAGTGTCTAAATGTAGATGCTGCCCGTCTCACCACCTCGAATTTTCTCTGGGTGGCTTACAGTAGTAAGGAAAAAAACAGATATAAAAGCATTTATGATTAATCATTAAATAAATCCCATCTCTCTCTTTCTCAACTCAATAAAACTAGCTAAATAGAACTTCGGAAAAATAATGTTGGGGCAGGGAAAAAGAAGAATCCAAATCAGTATTTCAGGCAGCTGCCAAAAAAAAGGAGGCTATTTATAGAGATTTGTAAGAGTTTGTACCTAAAGCTTGAGGTACTTTCCACGATGAATATAACCATCAGTTTCTGCCCTGCACAAAATTTTGCTGTTTGGGAAGGCTTTGGATTTTGAATATGGCGGCCTTTGCCGCTTCGGCGCGTTTAAATTTTGTGGCTCCTTCGATGAGAATGGAGAGTGATGCTATGGCTAAAACTCTTTCCGCATGCCATGCATTGATAGGGTTTCTCCCCCGTGTGGATGCGTTTGTGAGAGGTCAGGGTTGCCATTTGACTGAAGCTGATGCCGCATTCGTTGCATTTAAAGGGCTTCTCCTTGGCATGGATTCGTTCGTGTTCGTGCAGGAGAGACCTATAAGCGAAGCTTTTCCCACAGATGGGACATGTATTCATTCTGGGTTTCTGAGCCAACTGCCCTTGGGCGGGCGTTTCAGGAGAATCCACTGTCTTAGAATCCGAGATGCTTCTCGTACTCGATTTTGCTTGGATTGTTTTGCAAAAGTTCCCACTTGCGGGCGCCAAAGGTGCGTTGTTTCCCGGATATCTTGGCGGGGCCCCCGTTGCACCTTGGATAGGATGACGTTCCGAAAGAGAGAATTCGTCCCATCTCATGACCTTGACCCGCTCCTCCTTTCCCTCGCTCTGCAGTCCCTCCTGGATGGATCTGGATCTTTTTAAGGACACTCTTTGTGATTCATCCTCAGCCTCATTCCACCATGCCTCCCTTCCTAGAATAAGAGAAAACCAAGAGAAAATATGGGGGGGAGGGGTTCAAATGAAAAAAAAAAGAGCTTTTGGTGAGAGATAGGTAAGATACTACATTTAGGCAAGAAAAACCAAATGCACAGGTATAGCATAGGTGGACCCTCACTCAATACCATGTTTCTCTGAAAATTAGACTTGGTCTTATTAATTTTTGCTCCAAAAGAAGCATATTTTCCAGTTAGGTCTTATTTTGGGGGGAAATACGGTACTAAATGCATCTGTCTCACTGACAATCTTCACTGGGGCCGATTTTTGGGGGGTAGGGCTTATATTACAAGCATCCTGAAAAAATCATGCTAGGGCTTATTTTCCAGTTGGAGTCTTAT